GAGGTGCTGGTTCCGCAATTATTCAATTATTCAACTTTTTTTTTTTTTTTTTTTTTAGAGGCTTTTGCTATAGGGCGTGTGCGCTCACCAGAAAGAGAGACAGAAAGTGAGAAATCACCCCCCAGGGAGGGTGGCCTCGCTGCAATCCCTTCTCCTCCATTTTCCTCTCAGGATCTTGGGCATGCACGCACATGCACCCGGCATGAGTTTAAGCCACCAGGTCTGGGACTCGAACTGCGGTCGACTACATGGGAGTCCAGCGAGGTAGCCATTATGCTAACTGCTGGTCCCACACCTTTTCCCATTGGGAACTGAGGCTCAGAGAAGCCAGGTCTGCCTGACTCCTTGCCCCGAATCCATCACAGCCTCTCTTGCTCACCTTCTGGGGATGCAAAGGGAGAAGACGTGCGCCTGCCTCCCGAAGCACGTGGGTGTGTCTGCTTCCCCAGTGGGGTCAGGAGCCTTCGCGATGATGACAGAGAAGCCCAAAAGGACCACCTCTCGGTGCCTCGTAAGTGTCGGTCTAGGGGACCAGCCAACTCCTGCCCAGTTCAAAGACTCTAAGATGTAGGACACAGCTCAGCTTCTCACTGCCCAGCTATCAGATCCTCACAGTGTTTCAGGGTGCAGGGACTAGACTGCAGTTAGGTGGGGAAGGGACAGAAAAGAGGCCTTCATTACCAATGAGCTCCATGACAAGAAGTGGCCAACTCGCTTCTCTCAAGGGTAGAGATTTGATGACTCAAAATGATCTTTATGTCTGACCTGAATCAGGCTGGAGTCCCTTGTTTCTACCTAAAAAGCAGAGTTAGGGAAATTGGTCTGTTCCTTCAAGCCCAAAGATGATGGCTGAACTGTACTGAGCACTTGCCCGCACCCAGGCACCAGACTTGGTGTTGTATCGCCAGCATCCGCCTGATCCTCACTGCAGCCCTGACATGAGACCGGGGCCAGTTTTCTCCCAGACAAGGAAATGGAGGTTTAGATATAGATACGTCCTGCACCCATGAGAAGTCGAAAGCGATCCTGCTTTATTCAACACTAGGAACAGAAACATCCAAGACCAAAAGGTGGGCTCACTCCCAACACGCCCGTAACACGACACTCTGCGATGCTGGAAGCCATGTGGAAGACTGGGGTTCAGTTCCCTGGTCAACCTGTACATGTGAGGCCCATAATACTACCTGGCAAAAGGCTGGGGCCGGGGACATTGTGGCATGTTGAGGGTTCCCTCTTGTCTCTCTTACATGTAGGGAGGGAGGGGAGGAGGGAAGGAGGGAAGGAGGGAAGGAAAATTGGCTTTAAAAAAACAAACAGAGAAACATAAAACCCAGCCAGGCGTAGTGGCATAAACCTGTAATCCAAGCTACTCAAGAGAGGCTGAGGTGGGGATTGTGAGTTCGACGCTGGCCTGGACAACATAGTAAGGTCTTGTCTCTAGAAAAAATAAGTGACCAAAAAAATTAAATAAATAAATGTGCTAATACCATATTATTTCTTTTAATTTTTAATAGACTTTATTTTTTTTAAGAACAGTTTCAGGTTCATAGTAAAATTGACCAGAAAGTACAAAGATTTCCCATTGGCCCCTTGCCCCGTACACTCTCGTAGCCCTTTTTGAGGCCAGGGAAACCTTCCTGTAGCTACTCTCCGCCCTCGGGAGAGAAAGCTGAGCAAACTGTTCCACAAAAGCCAATCTTCCAGATTACTGGCATTTTCCATTTGAAGCAATAGGCTTTTATATTTTTAGCCACTTGCACTGGTAGTAGAAAACGAATAATAAACATTTCTTTTTTTAAAGAACTATTTGTTTATTTAATTCCATTTGTTATTGTTATTATTTTTTAAAATTTGACCA